AGGGTTTGTCTCCTCTCCTTGCCCGCGCGGCGTTGGGGCTCCGGAGAAGGGCCCTCGCCGTCGCGTTTCCGGGGAAAGCCCGGGGCGGGGCGGGGGGCGGCTGGGAAGTGGCTGGGTAGCTGAGGAAGCAACCCGGAGGCGCCCTGCGTAGTCTGTGCGGACCGCCCAAGCCTGTCTTTTGGGATAGTCTTCCTCAAACCCTGAACTGCGGGCCGGGCGGCTCGCTGCCTTGGACGCTCGGACTGCTCCGCCTTCTTCCGAGAGTTCGTGCGCGCCTTCCCCTGGGCCCGCGGCGGGGCGGAAGGCTAAGAGAAGCCCTGTGAGCAGGGACCGCCTCCGAGCCCGCCTCCGCCTCCGAGTCCCACCCGCCTCCGAGCCCGACCCCGGGAGCCCCGGCCCGGCTGAGCGAGACTGCGAGGCTTGGCTAGGAGGCTGCGCTCGTCCCCAGGTGCGCGGGTCCCCTGCCCGGGCGGACTCTCGGGGCGGCGATCCCCGCCCTGCGCGTGACCTTGCTCCACGGCCGTGGGAGATGTGCCTGTCTCTGGTTGAAGAACAAGTTTCTACCCAGAAAGGTAGGTGGAGAGCTGCCGAGGCACTTGCCTAGGTAATTAAGGGTCAGAGGTGTGATCCCGGGCCAGGGAACTGGAAGACGCTCGCTCTTTTCAGGATAAAATGGCAAGAGTGGCGCGAGCCACCCGCGGTGCGAGAGGAACTGGGATGCGGCCGGCCTGCCTGAACGTCAGGATGGACGGGAGACGGGCTCCAATTTTTTCTGGGCTTCCTTTGTGCCGCTCCATCCCTTGGTACCTTAGGGTGTCTCCTGCTGTTTCTGTTTTGCAGGCAGTTCAGTCCTTTAGTGCTCAGCATGTTCTGGATTTGGGTTGACATTTTATTGCCTCTGGGTGTCATTACTAGGGTGTCGTCTGAAAGGCATCATTTTAATTGGCCGTGTGTGTGTATCTGAGACTTAAGGCTCTGAGAAGGAAACAGGCAGCGCACCTGTTCATGGGCTCCCAGCGCCCCTGACGAGACTGGGACCTCACCTCTGCCGGCGCCTTCTCGCTCCAGATGGGAGGGAGGGCAATCCTGTGCAGGGCGCGAGGTGGTGACTCGCTTGGGTGTGAGAAGCCTTGTGGAGAAAGGGGGTGTGTGCTGATCTTGTTGGTGTTTGCCAGGAGGTAAGACTCAGCGTCTCCGCCAGGGAAGTGGAAAACTTTTGAACATGGCTGTGGACCTTGCCCTTTCTTTGGATCATCTCTCATCCGTGACTTAATTTGGGTCAGGCTCATTAAAACGAAGCAATAATTTCCAGAGCACTAAGGGGTGAGTCCATAGTGCAGGTGACGTTCATAGGGCTGGTTTTACTCCTTAAAAATTTCATCAAAGAATATTTAAAGGCCGGGACTTATTTTCAGGGAACTCTGCCTGTTGTGAATGGATGTAGGCCAAAGGGTTTTAGCAAGTAGGAATTTTCTTTGAAGTCTCCATTTTTTACGTTAAAAATGAAAAACACCTCGTTCATTTTACTACATGATATACTGGGGCTTATTTTAATGTAGAATATCATATTTTCTTATAGGGGAATAATGGTGTTTCCCTGAAGGTGTGGCATTCCACTAGCGGTTTTGTTTGTTCCCTGCCTGGCACTTTATCTTACCTGATGATGCCCTGCCCCAGGCCCACACTGCCCGTATTTATTTCCAGTTTGGGAAGAATCGATACTAAAAGATTGGTTTGTTCCTGGAAAGGCCAAGTATTGTTGTATTGACAGGATTTCCCTTTCAGAGATCATTCAAGCAAAACATCAAGCAATGTGGGGTTAAGCTCCCAGTTCCCAGTAATAGTGATGTCAGAGAGCAAATAACACTTCATTGTGAAAGGTGGAACGTGGCCTCTGCGATGTGTGCCAATCCATCTAAGTTTTTTAGTTTTACGTTCCATTTTACTTAGAAAACCAAAGAACCACTTCCATTGAACGCTATGGAGAGGGGAGTGTCCTGAGGAATTGTGTGCCCTCTTAACTTGGAGTTGTGAGCCTGTTTATTTAAGCCCTGGCTGGGGTAGATGATCATCAAGTTCGGGATGGCCTTTATCACTTCCTGAGAAGCTAGAATAAGGTCGGCCCGCAGATGAAACCAGGTGGCTATTGAAGAGAGCTGGTTATGTAAGATAATTGATGAAGGAAACTGGTACCAAGCCCAGCAAATCCTGGAAGGAGGGAGAAAATGTGGGCGGGGCTTGGGTGGAGAGGCAGAGAGCAGACTTGTGATGTAACCTTGCTAATTTGTGATGCCTGGCATTTTGGTGAAAGGGAGTTTCATATTCAGCAGATATTCAGTATTCAGAGCTGACTCTTTATCAAAATGTTTATGCTTCAGATCAAGCACCTTAGAGAGGAGCCGTTTTTTTACGGCAGCCCTGGCCAGCCCATGAGCCTCACAGGCATTTCACCTCATGGGACCTTGCTGGGCAGCTAACTGCTGGCTGGCCTCCTTTCTGTATCTCCTGCTATAGCGGCTCCTCTCTCTCCTGTCTGTAAGTGCCCAGCAAAGAAAGGCACTCTGCCAAGAAGGCCAAAGGCTGATATTTTAATAGGGAACACTCAGAATTCCTGTGGAATGGGACTGTGTTCTTGTTTTGCTGTGCCCAGTGACTTTATCCCTATGTTGATAGTTGTTGACGAGGATATAATTTGAGATACATAAAGAGGCCCGGAAGTGTTGCACCTGGTACAGGTCCTAAAACTCAGCCACAAGAGAAATGCTAGATTCCTGAATCACTTCTTGGTGAGCTACGCAGCACTGGTTTTAAATCAGGTCTTTCAGGTTTTGCTAGTCAAGGACCTCAGACCAGCCACACTGGCTTCACCTCAAATCTCTTTGAGAAATGCAGGCTCCAGGTCTCCCACAGACCCACTGATTTGTGTGTGTATTAAACTCTAAGGAAATGAGAAGGGAGAGTATGAGGTTGGCCACATTTGATCAGCACTTGCTTGTAGAGAAAACACTTGGAAAGAGAATGCTGACCTGATATAAAAAATAAACTCATAAGTTTTCCTTCAGTTGCCTCTAGTTATTTGATAGTTGAACTTCAGAGTGTTTGTACCTGAATTTACCATGAAGATAGTTTATGCTTCATCAGTGTGTGGTGTGCTTTGGGAATGTATTTTGAAGGTACGGAGCCTGGTGTGTAGCTTGCTGAGTTTTGACAGATACATAAAGCAGCAATGAATTAACCAGTAGTGTATTTTTCACAGCGCAGTCAGCCTCTCCTTCTCCCACAATTGTTCCAGGTATGGTGCCACTTTGCCTGCTTTTCAACTTTACATACACAGGTTCACAAAATGCGTTTGGCTTCTTTCACTGAACATTATATCTGACAGCTTATAGTAGCTTTCTGTTTTCACGGCTACGGAGTACTTCACTGTGTAGAGATCCTGCAGTTTATTTATCCATTTTACTATGAATGGCCACTTGGCAAATCTGTGCTTTGTGCCTGTTACATGTAGTGCTGCACTGAGTGGCCTCACCTGAGTATTTGGTAAGCGTGAGGGTGCATGCAGTGTGGTACACAGACTATTTGCAAATTCATGTAAGCTTAGCTTTCTAGCCAAGGGTCCTTCTTTCAAAATCTGGGTTTTTTTTTCTGGACTGTTGTATAGTGATGTCACCAGGATTTGTGGGCATAGTGGTGGAGTTTGGCCTTTTGAGCTCCCGTGTATATTTTCTGTCCTTGCTGTCGGGCTGCTGAGTGATGTTTCATTATTGTCTGTATGTCCTTCCATCCTGGGACCCCTGCAGATTTGGGAAGCAAATGATCAAATGTTTTGTAACTTCATTTTAAAACGCTGTTTGAATGCAGGTTATTCCTATACCAAGCAGAACTGTTCCTGAGTCTTTTTTTCCCCTCACTTTCAATCTTTTGGATTCTTCATAGTGCTAAATATCTGGATTTCCAATAGCTTCAATGTGGCCATCATTCTGAAATTACTATTATTTAAAGTTTTATTTACATTTTTATATTGCAGCCCCTTTTCCAATTTTGTTTACGGTATACTGATAGTTCCCCAAATAGGCACCATACTCCTAAGTTATCTCTGTTGATACTATGCTCTTTACAAAGATAGGCACAAAACATGGAGTTATATTATTAAAAATAAAGGTAAGAAGGGGTGTCTGGCACTCTGGGGGGCCTCACCTCCTGCTAAGAGGAGTCTGTGTGAGTCTGTCATGCTGCATCTTGGGCCATCATCCTAACATTCATGAGATTATTTTTAATCCTCTCTTTTGTGAGTGGAAGATGGGGAGAGGTCCTTAAAAAACTCTACACAGGAGTAGTCAAACACTACTGCCTTGTGTTTTCTCCTTGTCCACTCAGGCAACTTGGTCTAATTTATTACAGCACCTTCTTCAGTACTTTGGTTTAGAGCAACCACTAAGCATTTATTCCCATTTTAGTTAGTAGTGTTTGTGCCAGTTTTACTGCCCAGAGGAGGTGCTGTCCAAGCAGATGAGTGAGGAATGCAGCTCAGATGACAGGAAAAGGAACTGGAAACCAAGGGAATGTAAATAAAGGTTTGGGATAAAAAATATAAACCCAGATAAATGTCAATGCACATATCACTGAGATTGCTTTTGCTTATCTCCTGAACCAGTGAGTTAAGGTGATGACCCAATTAAGGAGAGATTGGTGCTTCTTTTCCTGACATTTCTGGTGAGTTGAAGTCAGATTTTTTGGGAGATAGTGTCTGCAGATAGGAAGATCCTTCTCTAGAGTAAAAAAGTCAGATTTCAGTAAGAGTTTTGACTACTTTCTAAAGCACATTAGTAAAAAATCACTCTTTAGTTCTGCAGAAAAACATGAAAAAAAGCAACTAAACATTTTAGCAGTGTGCAAGGGGAGCATGGGTAGACATGAGATGAGCAGTAGAGCTATTAAAGTGTTAAATTAGCAATGCTATGATATAGGGCTATCTAGGACAAGTTTGTGTTTTCTAAAATCAAAGAATGAATTTTAGGAACAATGGAAGTTAAGAGCAGAATATATTTACTGAGGGAAAGAAAGCTGCTGTCTGAGAGAGGGACAGAAGGAGGCCTGAGTAGGTTGCCCAGGAACCTACCTTTTCTAGGGATTTTTATAGAGCAAATTCACGAGTGAGGCAGGTCCCAGGTGGAAAACATGGGAACTCACTGGGTGGGCATGAGATGGGACAAAACTATGATCAGCCAATGAGATTATAATTGTTCAGGTAAAACTGAATAAATTGAGATCAAATGAGGAAGTGAGTCACATAGCAAGCAGCAGGAATACAGAATAGGGGCCTTTCCTGTAGGGGGTTGGGTTAGTGACTCTTTCTGGCTTTTCAGGGTGTTTGCTACCTATTTAGAATATCAATCCCTGAGGTCCATTGCTAGGGAAGTATGTGGGCGCATTTGTTTAATCTTTTTTCCACAGCTGGAGGTATCTATCTCCCTCACAGTTGCAAGGCATCTCACCTTTGCCCTGGCTCCTTTGAGGGCTTGGCCCTGTCTGACTGCCTATAATATTTTTAATATTTCTATCTGACTCGGCT